TATCCACCCACACAATCACATTTCACAAATGATTCCTGCTTTAGTGCCTTCCCTGCCTAACATAACAAATTACAGCACAGAATTAGTTTGCAGTTCAGGAATTATAGCTGATTTTTTCCAGAAGCAGTTTGTGATGTCAGATGCTTCAGTTTTGAGGTGTCCCAAGTTCCAGGGTGATCTGCCTCCAAAGGGAGGACACAAAAACCAGGCCCTTAACAGAGCCTCTGAATGAGTATCTGCTGTCACCTGGCACTTCTGAAATCTTGGGCTAAACTTCTACTCTCTTACTTTCATTGTAGACAGATAAGGACATCTTATGTATACATGTATTCATGAACACAAACCTTCATCTCCACCAACACATAACACACACACACACTGTACTGAAGCTCCCAGTCCTTCAAACACCATGAGAAAGATTACAAATGATGAGAAGAGCTTCATAACTCTGAGACTCTAGATGCTTTCAGTTATCTTTTTCTGGTTTCAGTGCTTATGGATTTTTTCCTCCCAGCTTCCCCATCTAAAAACCTAGCTACTTGCTATTTTAATTTTTAATTCTCATATATTTACTGACTCCAGGAGCTGTAGCTTTTAAATAAAAAAGAAAAAAAAAAATCACAGTTTCACAAGACTTGGATTAAAAAAACCCCAATGGTAGCAATAAAGAGATATGCAATTTTCTGTGAAAAAGTTTGTTTCTTTTTTACTGCTCTTCAGGTAATCTGGTTTTAATTTAGTAATCAGTTAGTGTGGGTTATTTGTACTGTAACAGGGCCCAGAGGCCCTGACTGAGAACAGAGCCCAGTTTTACTCAAGTTTCTATACTTCCCTCATCACATCCTACCAGCGGATCCTGCAGTAACACACTAAATTATGTTACATATTTCTGCGTGAACCCCAGCACTCATTTAAGAAAGTACTAAGAGCAGAGATTAATATTAACCTCACGGAAGGTTTGCCACTTCAGAGTTACGCGTCGAGTCTCGGCGTCCTACGTGCACCGAGAGCCAACAGGCCAGTTCAGCCCTCCCGTCCTAGGCTGGGATGTGCTGATCTCTTCCTACTGCCTGCAAATTCGGTCAGCTAACGAACGTGGGTTCAAGCTGGTTGCAGGTGGGTGAGGTGAATCCTCAGCGCGTTGCCCAAGAGCATACAGGAAGCGTGTGTCAGGGCAGGACACTTGCCACAAGCCTCACGCGCGCGGCTGGCTCCCCTGCCCGACCAGGCTACCCTCGCGCGACGTCTGGCAGCGGCTGTACCTTCCTCGGCTGCGCTGTGGACTATCTGCAGCCCTGGTGAGAGGCAGCCGGGGTGGGCTCTGCCCTTTTGTTTTCCTCTTTCTTCCCATCCCGGAGGGACTTTTCAGGCTGGCCAGATCTCAGCTGCCCAGATCTCCTATAATGTGCTTGGCTGATGTACCCTGTAAGCACACTCTAACATATTCTGGTTCAGACTGTCCTGTGAACACGTCCCCCCAGGTCAGGCAAGTCTTTTGCTTTGCTGTTTAATTAAAAAAAAAAAAAAAAAAAAGGCATAATGTGTTTCAAACAATGTCTTTGCCAAACAGATACGATTCATCCCATTCTAGGTACAACCCTATAAAACAATGCACTTCTAGAGAGCAAGCATCACAGCTCAGACAGCAAAGGCAGAATGATGGAAAGAAACAAAAACTTGACTCAGCAGGTGACTGGCACCCGGGAACCAAGTATCTTCGTAAATGATGCCAGCTCTTTACCTCTGAACACTTGGTCAGAGGAAACTCTGAACTCTGTCAGAGGAACTCTGATCACTATGCACACTCTGGGGACAGGGACTGTTTTTGGATCAGAGCTACCCTCACCCACACCATAATCACAGCTACCTAAAGAAATAACAAAAAACAAGCCGTCATATTTTCTTATCTTCCAAGCCTTTGAAACTTGGGTATTAGCAATGGAGTCCCAGCCAGAATATAATCATATGCTATATAATCAATTCCACTGATTAATGTATTTTTCAGCTGTTGCCTTTATCATCCTCGAGCACACTATTCCAGGATCCCAGGCGCTGATCCGGAGCAGTCTCCCTGCCAATCAGCTGAACTGAAGCACTTGCAGGTGCAGTGTAAGCGCAAGTGCATTTTCGGATGAATACTTTACAATGATCAACAATTTAAACACCAGACCAAACAAAGCAGGAGTAAATCCTCATCAGTGTAACTGTCTTTATTCTACAACTTTTTCTGGAATTATATCGATGTACCAATCAGTTGAAAATGTGACCCAAAGCATCAAAGCAGAGATACTATGTAAATGTTGATTTATCTCTGCTTTGAGTCTAGAGTTTATTCAGAGGGCTTTTACTCCTTTGTTGTGAATTGCATAGCAGTTATTTGATTGTTGTTTCTTTAATTTACAAATCTCTCTTTCTCTTTACATAACTTAAAAAAAATAGAACCCATGTCTCCCTTGAAAGCGTACCTTGCTTCAGCATGGTTATCCCTTGTGTGCTTTACTGCCAGGATTTTATAAAAGGGCTTTAACTTTTCATTCACCAGGAGCATAACTCAAGTTTTAATAACACACCTTATGCATGACAAAAATTTGCTTCTGGCAATCATGGTTTCGACCACAAAACCACAACTGGGAGTAACTCCTGGTTAACTCTTTCAAGCCCACGCATTGCAGAGTTAGACAGAAGTTCAATTTAGAAGACTATGGAAATTATCAGTTAGAATATTTTATAATAGGCAAACCATCTCATTCTCTCATGCCATGCTAGTCTCTTCCCAGTCCTTTCTGTGAAATTAAAGCGGCAAAGGAAGAGATGAGATTATTCTCCCGGTCATTTTGGGTGACAGCATCACTCCATGGGGATACCACAGCTCCCTTAAAATCAGCTGCATTTATGCACATGTTCTCAGGTCAGGTCCATCATCCCCGGGCTCAACGTGTTGTGGGGGTTGTATAAGGAACAACAGGCAGTTCCAGACACAGACACACACTTTGGCCCTTATCAGATCCTCTAAGTACTGCTCCCAGGAGCCTTTTCCTTACACTGATGTCTACAAAGCTACACCCTCTATTCCTTTGGCTTGGGTGATTAACCAGAGGTTAGCAGCTACTGCAGCAGCCCCATTGCTCAGATGTTGGGCTTTAGCAGCTCTTCCCAAGGTTTCTCCTCCCTGTGACACCTCTACCCCCTCACAGTAAACCCCAAAGCTGCCTGAATGTTTCAGCTATGCCTTTGGTACCACGAAGTTCACAGCTCCCTTATCTGCTATCACTGCTCCCCCTCAGGCCCTCGGGAGCTTTCGGGTGAGGTTCTCCAGGCCCTTTGTGCTCCTCCAGGGTTTCTCCAGGGGAGGTGGCAGCGCCTGCCCCTGCCCCTCTGACCAGGCACCAGCAGGCTGGAGTTGTTACACCTCACTGTCTGCACCCTCAAGAGAAATTTTTTCCCCCAGCTGTGGGCTTCTGAATTAAAGTGACATTTTCACAGAGATCTGCAAACGTGTCCTCAGGTTCAATCTGTAGGAAAATGTTGCACAGAGCCTTTTACCTCCGGAGGTAACCAAACAGAGCCCCAGCCGAGACCTGTCCTAAAGGCTGAGAGCAGACAGCAACCTCTGCATTTTTATCAGCCTTTGGAGTTGAGATCTGAATCACAAAAGGGATGCTGCTCCCATCAATTCCCCCTTTCTCATGTGAAAAGCACAGGGGTTAACAGCCCGTTAGTAAGAGAAGAGTCAAGCAGCCATGTAATTCATCGGGTAACATAATGCCCCAGTCCATAATTAGTAATACATCAATCTAATTCTGCAATGCACTGTGTACACACACAAACACTCTGCAGCATTTTGAGAGTAAACCGCATGGCCTGACTCTTAAGTTTAAAAAGCATCAATTATAAATTACCCAAAGAGTTCAGAAAGGGAAAATTTAAGTCACTGATTCTTAATCGATCCAAGCATGCAGATCCCAGTATTTACATGAAATAATAATTAGTGCTGCACCTCTTCAGGGTTCTTAATTATTAAGAGATTAGCTGTCACAACACCTCTGTCAGTCTGTGTGTGTGTGTAAACACATACAGGTATGTGTTTTTCTTTCAAAATACCTCCCAAAGCACCAGATCTGTAGAGATGTATACATATGGATGTATATTTCTTGGTAAATCTTATTATACACAAGTACTTCATACAAGGTTATATACTTAGGTAGCTTTTTAAGACTGGATTGACAGCAGCATTCACTATGATTGTTCAACATTCCTCCAGCCTTTACTACACCATGTCATACCAATATGACATTTGTTTGCTTTAATTCCAGAGGTGCGAGGCATGGTATGCTGTGCAAATCCATACCATCAGTATCTAAAGTTGAACAAATTTTGGAGGACTCAAGATTAAAAGCAAAAGTTATACAGGATCAACAGAATATTAAAATTTTTAATAAAATATAATAAATCATAATTACTTGGTAGAATCATAATGTGAATCCATTTACTTAAAAAATAAAACCAAAAAAAAAAACCCAAAACACCACGCAACAACCCACACCCTCAAAAAAATAGAAACTCATCCAAAATTGGTAGATACTTTGGAAGGTATCTTCTAAGAAAAAAAGACAAACCACAGAATCACTGTAGCCTATGTTAGATTTTGCTGGGCAGAGGCAGAACAGACTTGCCTCTAGACAGAAACCCTATGTGTCAAATTTTAGTCCGGGGGGGGGGTGGGGGGAAGAAAGAAAAAAAAAATCCTGATTTTAAACAACTCTTAAAAAATAACAATAAGAAGTGATTCCTCCTAAGAGCAGCAACAGGTTAGTGAGGAACAGAAAGTCTGAAAAACGCTCCCATCCCATTCTTTTACTTCCACTTGCAAACAGCTGGACGGGCAGATTAACCTGAGGAGTCTAATTCATTCAGACCCAAAGCGCTTAAACAAGCCTCAAAAGAAACACTCAGCCTTTACAGAGAGCAGTGGGTAAATAGAAAAAAAAAACTCTACTTACTCAAGTTCATTAGACATTTCCCCACGTTTCCAAATCTTTGCAGACAAATTCTGATGACTTCTCTCTTCTAGTACCTGCTACAGACAGACATTGCCTGTGAAGTGTTTGATTTATGTTGAGGTTTTGCGTACAGGTATTTTGCTGACAGGTCGGTTGTTGGGGATTGGCTGCCGGCACAGGTGCCCTGGGACAGGTACACCCAGGTACACCCAGACAGGTGCAGCCCGTAACCCTCTGCCTGCCGGAGGATGGAGGGGAGGGAGGTGGGTGGGGAAGGAGGGAAAAGCCCCGGGGGGGAAAAAGATAGGATGGAGGAGTGGAATCAGTTATTCATCTCTGTGATAATTAGTTTCAGTTTGGTGGACGTGTTCCATATACTTCAATGCCAAATAGCTGTCATTTTTATGAATCTGGGGGTTGATTTGTCGTTTGCTGTTTCTTTATATATAAATATACAGACAAATATATATATATATATATATATGTAGGAATACATTAGGGAAGAAGAAAAGCCTCTTAGTTTCCTCTCATTCCTAAATGGTAATTGTACTGACAGGCTAACCCTTTCTTTCCTTTTCTCACCTTCTCTTAGCTTCTCACTCCAGAAAGCCTCCGTGGGTGTGGAGTTTTTTCCTCTTAAAGTAACTTTAAAACCCCTAACTCTAGATGCCAAGACATGCAGCAAATACACTGGCCCAGGGAATCTTTGCATTACACGGGATATGTAAGGAAAACAGGTCTGCGGGCGAACTCTTCTCCGTACCATTCACGCAGGCTGTCCTGCCTGCTGTAGCGCAGATAAGAGCACGGGACGGCAGCGGGAAGCCCGGACACACGGCATTTGGGAATTAGCTGCAGGAATACCACCCAGGCAACAGCTCTGTAGCAACTCACCTGTAAACGGGGAAAAGATTTATGCAATAGAACAAAACTCATCATGGATTCAAGCACTCCTGTTGGATGGTTTCTGTCATCCGTGTTGCAATGAGGAGGCAAAGGATGGGCTCAGCGGGTGACTCATGTTGACTGGATTTGGAAGGCAGGAGAGGATTTTACGAGACAAGCTGGTACAAGCCTTAAAACAAAGGGAAAAAGAAAGGCTTCCACCACTTGTTCTCACCCCTCATCACTGTCTCACTCACTGAATCTGCCCCACTCAGTGCCCTGCGCTAGCAGGTGAATACAGGAAAGCTTATAAGTCTGCCTTCACATAACAGTAAGCTCAGCTCTCCCAGTTTGGTGACAAATGGCCTTACCAGCCCACTCAGGCAGGCGTAAGGCATGTCTACACAGGCAGATGTGGTACAACACCCTTCAAACACATCTCTGGTTTCTGGCTCAGAGCATGGCCTGCTCGGAGCGCAGGACCAAGAATGACCATGGTGCATCTGCACGGGCTGATAAGGACGTGCTGGGCTGAGCTTTGCCTGACCCAGCCAGCAACTATCACCCTCCGCTCTGCTGTGCAAACTCCTGCCTGCCAGGGACGTAGGGACTGGACAAAGTCTGTTTTCTGGGAATCAAAACCAAGGTCTGAAGCAATGCAAACTCCATTGGGGATCACTGGAGAGCACCAGCTGCCAAGATCTTGTAGAGCAGAGGACAGCAATACCCAAAAGTCAGCCGAACAACGGCTGATGATCAGTCAGTGCCACAGCAGAGACCGTGCAGTGGTGAGAGTACAAAAAAAAAAAAAGAAGAGGAAAGAGCATGTATGCCCTATGCAGCCACGGAAAGCACAAATCTTATGCAGTGGTTGCATTAGTTGATCAACATTCTGATTATATCTCTAAATTAAGGAAACCTTGCCCAGTTCATGATGAGCAGAGTCATAGTCCTGGGTACTTGTTCTTTACCTGGATCCAGGCAGAGAGTATTTCACTGACTCTGGGTAGTGCAAAGAGCAGCAACATCCCCTTAGGGGATTTCCAAGTTTCTTCTAACCTTTCAGTGAGACTTAACCAGATTCCAGCAACAAAAGTGAAGGAGGAGAAAACACTAGCCGAGGCCAGACCATGCAGGGAAACGGCAGGGCACAGGATTCCGACCTTTGCGGGAAAAAGCCTGTGTCAAAGCAAAGAGAGGGAGAAATGTGTCTGGCAAAGCTGAGCAGTGACAGGCTTTGTCTTAGTGAAAGGTGTCCTGGGGGCCTCAGTGCCACCATGACCAGGCAAAATCCAGCTCTGAATGGAAATGTTCAGGTATTTTAACTTGGCCTTTTGCAGAACAGTAAGGATGATGTTGTCTGCTGTTCTATGATAGGGGACAGGAGAAAAATTTGTACTAATTCTGGTTTTAAGCATTAAGTTTCTTCTTAGCTTTGCTGCCACCGATGCAGGACCTCATGTTTTCCTGCGAGGATCTTATTGCAATGGCAGAATGAGAGACTTTGCCAGGTAGGAAGATGCGTGCTCATTCTCGCATACAGTCTTATTTCTTATGCAATTAGCTATGTGCCTCCCCGCAGCACTGAGGCACTCTCCCAGCCTCCAGGAATCACGGTGCCTCAGTAAAATCGCTCACAGCAGAAAGCAGAAACCAGCCCCTTTCCGTCAGTACTGTGGGGCCTGTACACATGTCTGTCTGCTTTATGGTAATACCAGCTTGAGTTTGCTCTCTCAGACACCTTTTCAAGGCTGGATGAAAATGTTACTGACTCCCCATCACCAATTTTCCCACAGACAGGACCCTCACAGCCTCCCCCAAATTAGCTTTACGCTACTGCCAGCAGAGGAGGACCGGGACCACCCCACACACAGGTCTAGGTGTGATGTGTCCTGGTGGGAAGCAGGGACAGCTGGCACTGCCCGGGCACTGCGCTGCCTCCAACACCCAACAGCTCCCACCAGACGGGACCACCCTTGCCCTGCCTTTTCCATTCTCTTGGGCACCTTGTCTTTTTTGTGATAATGTATGATTTATGGCGCCTGAGAGGCCTCCAGGCCTGGACGCCTAGACAGTCCCTTTGACTATGATTTCAGTATTTTTAATTATTATTTTCTTTTTTTTTTTTTTTTTCATTTATACTCCACCCTCCAAGAGTATCTGGTGAGGGGGTGGGTTAGAAGAAAGAGACCAAGAGATACATTCTCTATGCACAAAACCCTCCCACTTCCCTTCCACTCCCCTGTTAAATATACCTTGGAACAAAAGCCCTTTATGATGCTCTAAAAATAAAGCATGCAGCAGTCAAGACAAACTGCAAAGTTTAAAAGAGAGGGCCAAATTTTGCTCACAGCTACACCCTCTCTAAGGCAACAGGGTTGCACTTGTGTTTGGATTGTTAAACCCTCTTTAAACATCCAGAGACAGACTGTGACTAGCTGCATTTCGATCAGCAGCTCCATGATTGAGGACAACATCACTCATCGGGTATCCGTGTCAGGAGCTGGCTGGGTCTGCATTTGGAGGAGCTGCCCAAGGTGCAGTGTGGCCCTGTGACCATGCCACCCTCGTGTTCCTATTTCTCCCTCTGTCACCGATTTGCAGTGTGACATTGGATAAGTCGTTTCACACTCCTTGTTCCCAGTCTGGCTTCTTTTCTGCGTAACTTGTAAGAAACTTCAAAGCAAAGGCTTTAATCCCTTTAGGATACACGGCTTTTCCCACTGACAGCTGTCAAACATCCTTTCCAGTTGTCCTGTGATGTGCCAGGAATTTCAGCTGTCTTTGACCAAAGGTTATTAAAACATTTCAACAATTAATATGCAGTAAGAGGAAGCAGCCTGAAGCAGGTTAAAGTGAGCTGTTCTCCAAAGGGAGATGTGGCTGCTTCAGGTGCTTTTCCAGAAAAAAGTATAGCTTGTGCCGTATAAGTTTGTAGAAACCTTTGATATCCAGACCAGACACTCTTTCCCAGTGAGACTCCCTCTGCCTCCCAGAGCCTTTTCCTTGGGAAGGCAGAACAAAAAGCTGATCTGAAACTTCCTTGGGCTGCAAGTCTTTGTCTGACAGGACTGCCCTGTCACTCTGTTTGTACAACACACAGCACAACAGAGGCTACAAAAGTCACTCTATAGCACTATTGTCATAGTAATAATGAGGAAAAGGCAAAAAAATAATTTGGCCTCTTGAAGCAAGCGAGAGAAACAAACCCCTCACTGACCCTTTCTCAGCAGTTGTTTTCCAGTTAGGTGAATTCCTCTATCTGCAGGGTATCTGGGAAGCCAGCTGGCTTTGCTGGATCCTAGTACCACTAAACAATGTGACCTGATGCTTAAATGTCTTTTTAATAGAGTCAGGCCAGTTTGTTATTATCTGTTGTAGCCCACGGGGCTATAGGAAAATTCCTGTTGTCTTTATCTAGTTCTACCAGTTTTCACACAGTAACAAGTTTGGGTTGCAAACAAGTGACCCAACTAACAGTCTTCAGGGCAGCCACCTTCAGTTTAAATAAACAAACATGACCCACCGTCTCAGCCAGCTTCAGTTTGTGGATGAAGCTTCACTTTTTCCCTGTGTGCTCTGACCTGAGCTTGTCCCGTGCTCTCACTTCGGAGCTGACAGTTGTCAATCCAAACCCAGGTAGAAGAAACCCAACAGCAGGGAATGGACACGCCAGCTGAGCCTACAGAGGGATGGAGCTGGTTGGACATGTCACAAGGATGTTCTCCATTTCAGCCAAATTTGCTGTGCGGGCCCAGGCTTCCCGTGGTATTCAGCTACAAATAAGGACAGGGAAGGAGTCAGGGGAAGGTTTCAAAGAGGAAAACTGGGCTGTCTTTGAAAGAAATTTCAGACTGGCTCCAAGCAAACTTTGTCTTCTAACGCCAGCACACAACAGTGAACACACACTGCAGCTCTTCAGCCATACCTCACTCATGGGACTTCGCTCCCTTCAATTGTCTCACACGTGCAACTCGACACAAAACACAAAAGCACATTTCCTCTTGCAAAAAAAAGCACAATGAGTTGAATGCCCCCCCCTCAGTGATTACACCACCAGGAGCAGAAGGTGCTGTCAATGATGCCAGCAGTGCAAGGAAGGGCTCAGGGCTGGGCCCACAGTCACCACAGCGCTGTGATTCCTCACTGAGAGAAACTTATTCTTAAACATGAAAACAGTTTTTAAAATGGACCAGATGCAAAACATCAGGTATTGCTCCCAACCATTTCCCCCACTGCTGCAGCCTGATCAAAGCTGCCTCCTTTCAGGAAGTTATCTGATGTCAGCCAGTGACGCTATAGCAGAGATGAGTTTGGTCTCAGATACCTCAGTTGACTCCATTCATCATTAATCAGCCCTTCATGAGCAGAGATATGGAAATGTCAACTGGCAGAGGTGTCCCAAGCTGCTCAGAATAAATTACCCTTATCAGCCAGCGGGTTAGAGCCCAGAAGCAGAGATTGGGCTCAGATTCAGACTCCAGCTGAAGCACGAAGTGTGTTTGGATCCTGGTGTCTGCTCGGTTCACGCAGTTGCCGAGATGCCACTTCTGATTTGAATCTAAGCATGGCACAGAAATGGGATTTCATTCAGTAAATCGTAAATAGCAAATAAAAAAATGAAACATGAATGAATCTTAGTCCATCCTGGTGGACTATAATGAAACTGCTCAGGGAACCTTGAAAGACATCTTTACGTGACAACTAAGTTTCTGTAGCTAATTAGAAAAGCGCAGGCCAGAGATATTTATCTGTGTGCAACATCTGGAACTCATAATGTCTTGGGTTTGCCAGCTTCCATGGTTTCATCACAAATCTGCTGATACTCACTGTTGTTATTAGTTTATTTAGTTGCCTTTTTAAAGCCTGACTTCCTGTAATCACATGTTCATGTGAAAGTTTTCTTGAAACAAAAATCTCTGTGCTTCATGATTGTTGCAAAACGCTTCAAAACACAATCCCTATAGACTCAGGA